TATAACTAAATATCATACTGAACAAAAATCCGGTGAACGAGAAATATTAATAGACTAATTAATGTTATACTAAGCAGAAATTATGCAGAATTAGTTTCAAAATCACATTGACTATGAAAACCAGTTCAATAAAAATCTTCATCTACCATCAATTTGTCATTTTATTTTTATGACGAGAAATAGATTGATTTCCTGTTTCAGGTATCAATGATCCGTGTTTGAACCAAAGAACTATTCCCATAATATTAATCCAATTTTTGTTTAGCTAATAAAAATTTAATTTATTTAATAAAAACAATTAATTAAAATGATCCATTGTGTTACTGAATAAAAATAAAGATTATTCAGTGGAGAAAATCTTCTTTTCAATAAATCTTTTACTTAAGCTGTACATTTACATTTATAGTTGTTTCGTAATTATACAAGTCTGTGGAATTATAGAAAAGATTGCATTATAAAGTAATCCAAGACTTCAGTTATCAAATGATGTTACGTAACAATCAAAGGGTCAGAGAAGAATAGAAGGATGAAAATAATTTACGGATAAGAATTATGAAAGATTGATTATTAAGTAACCTCACTTGATAATTTTAGCCTTGAATCACTTTATGATGCAATCTTTTTTATCCTTCTATGGACGTATATTTAGCATACAACTATAATTATAAATATACAACTTGAGTAAATGATTTCTTCGGAAAGAAGACTCCTCTTGAGCAACGTGACCAGAGTCGATCAGGTGCTCCTGTATTGAGCTAGTCATAGTTTCGTATTCCCCCCATAAAAGCTACACGGAGTGATTTTCTTAAACGTGTCTAGAAAGTGTTCGCCTCACAACAGCAAATGCATTTATAAGTGTATATCGATGTAGATCAGGTTGGAAGTTTATCTTCAACACGTCTGAAAATGGTAGGTCAGTTTGAGTAAATAATAAAAACTTATCTAAACAGAAATTTCTCACCAAGGATTTTGATATTTCTTTATTCACGATATCAGCAGCTGTATCTCCTTTGACTTCGGCGTTCATCAAAGGAAGTTTTTTTTAAACTATCGGTGTTTTTTCAGGATATGTTGTTCGTGATAAGTTTCCATCGATGAATCTGGGTGTATAGGTATTTCTGGTGAGTGTCTGTCGAAGTTAAAGTAGTTCATCATCTACTGTGTCATCTATTGTGTCCTTGAGCATGAATAGTGAATTAATTTTCTCTTTCTGCTCATTGGGACTAAGTTATGGAAATTCTTATACTGAACAAACCAGGTCAGTTTCCTATACATATTTCTTTGTGAAAAACCATCTGGTTTTCTTTTCAGCAGTACAGAAAGAAAACAAAATTCCACGCTTAAGTAAATGATTTTACTGAAAAAGGATCAACTCGCAGATCATGGTCAACACATGCGTATTTGTTATCGAAAACCACTGTATTAATAAACATATAACATGATTAAAATAACATTTATCGAAAGAGAAATTGATTCTGCATGATATCACGTTAAGTCATATGACATAATGGTGAAAACTGAATTCAAATGACTTGTTTGGAAGTAGAATCAAGAAACCTTGCTATTATTTGTACTATAGTGACCAGATACATTTTATGAATCAATTTCACTAAGTTTTATATGTAACTAAAAGTTATAACAAATGTTATGTAACACACAGTTATAATTAGTGACTAGGAGTGAAAATTACACAGATTCCAGCTACTGTGAGTTTCTGTAGTCAAAAGGCTCACCAACTTAGTTGCTCCATTTGACTCCGTAAGATGATGACGACAAACGATGAAATATGGATCTTTACTAACTTCGTATATATTCTCTAGCTGGATATTGTTAATACTAACGGAATAAAAGTCGAATACGAAAGTATTTTGACTATGTATAATTCATTTATATAGATAAGAGATAAAAGATGGATATAGGCATGATAGTCACTTCAAGCCTACTCACAGTAATTCGATATGAATCAATTTATATGTGAAAAAAGTTACATAACCAAATCGAGATGTGCATGAGCATATAGAAATGTACATAGATGTTGTTAAGCTCATTTTCAATTCCTGTCCCTATCCTCACCTCATTCAATACGTTTCTCATGTTTTGCTTTATACTACTAGGGAATATTCGGTTAACAGTTGAATTTTTAGTAGCTTCTAAGCCTATGGTGTAACGCAAGTTTGTTTGCTGTGTAGTATGCTAAATTATTTACATATACTTATAACATTTACTCTATTCATTATTATAATTACTTTCTCTCAACCCTTATAACAGTTATTCCCAGTTATATACATTCCTTGAGTCTTTGTTTAAACGCACCAGCTTCCATATTTGAGTGCTCTTACTTCACATTTTAGTCATTGACAAACCATTGTTAAAGTTATACATAGCTATCAGCTATCGTTTAGACTATCGTACGTTGTAATTTCTGTTTATGTTGTTATTACAGGAAGCCTTTCTCTTTCCAAACATACAGACGCGTCAATCGTTACAGACACTTCACGAATCGACATTTTTAACTAACTTGTGTTTATTCATCAATAATAGGACCGTTCTTCAGACAAATAGCTGTTTCATGCGTATTTCAACCATGTAGTTGGACCATCCGGTAGAACTAACAAATGATAAGTCAAGATTAATTGTCATTGAATATTCCCAATATCACCAATAACTTTAAATTTTCACATACAAAGATAAGTTCACACAATGGTTTGTATCAATCAGTCATGTCAGTTGACGATACAGTTGTTAATTTGATTGAGTGTTGATTATGTTCGAAATGTATATGGGGTCGCCACATTGACAACTGAGGATGTTTGTACGGTAGATGTTTTCCGTCTTTTTTATGAATTATATGTTATCTTTATTCGGAAAATGATTTACAACTATTCACTAATCCATATACAACTTGTGAAGTAGGTTCACATAATACCTTATTTTATCCTCTTTGAATTGACTCATTTTATTTATTATAAAGATATTCTGTGTACGACATAACAGGACAGTATTAGTTTCCAGTTACATCAATGTTATGTCTGTCACTGTTATGTTTACAGAATAGTTAACTAACTTATATGCGGTACCGAAAACTGAATCCAACGCTGTATAGTTAAAATGCGAAGACTGGTAATATAGATTTACTTGACTCGAAAAACAAATTAGAATAATACATGAATACACTCATACAGATCGATTTTACTAACACTTGATGATTATTAAACAATTTAATAATGGAGTTCATAAGTCAATTAAAGCTAGACCACGATGGAAAACCTGAAAGCACTGGACGGCCGTTTCGTCCTATTGTGGGACTCCTCAGCAGTGCGCGTCCATGATCCCGCAAGTGGGATTCGAACCCCGTCCAGTGGTCAAGTGCGTTAAGCGTTTGCGCGCGAGACTTAAGGCCCTGGGTTCGAATCCCACAATCGGGATCGTGGGTTCTCATTGTTCTCAATGGTTGTCTAACATCAATCGGTCCGAGATCTCAATCAATAACTTCATAATCTCCACAACCTTATACTGATATATTCTAGTTTACAGATTTATATTAAACGTATTGTAAAAAATTCGTTACTTTTTCATAAATTTTTATTATTACCACTACCATTGTCGGGTGTGAACAGTTGTCAAACGGCCGTTAATTTCATATTCAGTAAAATTTGACGGCGAATTTTGTTAGTGTATCATTGCAATTTCGCAATAAACGGTTACAATTGTATCATTACTGATAATAATAATAATAATCGTAATATGACTAATAAAATATTGTAACCTGAAAATTGGACTATCTTTTCATATAGAGAAACAAAGACAACTTTCATTAGATTTATGAATAAATGGCAATATCATGATTGTTCTTCGCAAATAGTGTAAAGTTTATTCAATCCAATCGAATTTTTTCGAAAGCTCTGAACGTATCATGAATAAAGTACGCGTCATACAAACATACTATACATTATTAGCGCCAATGTCTTAAATGCTTGCATAGAAGTAATCTAGAAATCGCGGTGTACACGTATATTACTGATAAAAATAAATTTGTATCAGTATAAAGAGCCACGCATGCATTCTGTAATCATTTTCATATATTATATTGCTAGCATAACACTTCTAGATGGGTTAAATATATGCATTTAAAAATTTAAGGAGATAGTGAGATGGCCTTTTTCTCTTAAACTTAAAATTAAATTACTAAAGTTCTATACCCAGAGCTTTTTATACTAACTCAGGTAAGTTAATGTTTCCCAAGTACATTAAGTAATGATGCTTCTTTGGATTAAACCAAAGATACTTGGTCGTTTCATAAACTAATATTTGATATTTTATTCTTTTACAAATAAATATACAGCTCATTGTAGAATAAACAATCTAATGGGACTTAGTAAAAAGTTTGTTACCATAATAAAGTGGTGTTATACAATCCACCCATTGTTTGGTATACGTAAAACATGTATCATTTTAACAATTACCAATACAGAACACCAAATAAATTCATTATTCTAAAGTACATGCTGATGTTGTTCAGAAGAATAATGAAAGCTTCACAACTGAACTATCCAATCCAGAGAACACAACACCTCCAAAATCTCTTTGAGCTACGAATATTATTTATCATTTCCTTAAGAACTGGCGTTATTAGAGTAATTGGAAAACGATGAGACACACTTGTCAGCTGTTTCACATATCATTTATGTCCAAACAGGAGAACCACAGGGAGTCGAATACCGACTCACAAGGTATTACAGGAAGCATGATACTTCAGACAATACAATCGGAATCTGACCAGTGATTTTTTTAGCCTTGACTCAATTTCTTGTATAAAGCAATTTTTATTCAGTATCATATCAATAAACTAACGCTTTGTTCGCAACTTCTTAGACTCCACTTGGTAACAACTTCACACTAATAGTTTAGGGAATTGATTTTGATGTAGGTTGATAGCAACTACACAATCATCACCTACATCGCCATATCTACATTACTTTAAAAAAGAACAAATGTACTTAGTTTAGTAGCAAATTTATTCACTGTTGATAATTCACACAGATAATACATATATTTAACACCACAAATGTGGTTATGCAGTCTATTACTGACTAGTTAAATTAGTAGTATTACTTTTTCCATTAAAAAAATAAGCCAGCATTGTTATTAGCATTAGCTAGCAATATAAATGCTTTACAATAGTCCGTTTGAGTATTATTCAATCTAGCAACGTATACTACCAATTTTTTTAATTTTATTTGAGAAAATGTTAGAGAGCTTACAACTTAAGTCACGTAAAAATAATCACACCTTCTACAGATGCTCCATATCACCCGAAATTAATAACAGTACTCATGTTACAATAGTAGTCGAAAACTGACTTAAGCTTCTGGGGAACACATCGGAATGAATGAGGTTGTGGTAAAATTTGATGAAGCAATGGCTTAGTGTTTAGGTCGTTCAACCTCCAGCCACTAAGTTCCAGCCTCACCTACTTCGGTTTGAGCGACCAAATAGAATGACTACCCTTCACAATTGAAGTGTGGTTCATACCCACGTATATAGAGAATGAGTTTATTTAAAAATTCACAGTTGATTCATTTAACCAATAAAAAGCTTCCAACTTACAATTGGTTCCCTCACTCGAGTAACAGATTGATACCGTATATAAGAAGCGTGTATATGAGCATGTTAGTTCTTTTCATTTTGGACGACAGAATTAAGATTTAACATCAGGGAATATAAGACTAATGTTATAAGTGAACTTGAAGTAAATTCATCGTTTCACTCAACAAACTGGTCTAAACTTTTATAAGGAAATACAATCAAATACATCAAATTTATCAAATCGACTAAATGTATCACGTAAACATTTGTCAATATTTTACATATTATCATCAATACCCAACAATAATATATTTAAACACTAAATTTAAATGAAATGAAGACTAGGTAAACTGAATCCTAAAATCTGTACATAGTATAATTTAAAGATAACCATTAATAAAGAGTCGTAAACAGATAAATTTCATTAAATTATTTCATCGTATTGAGAAACTAACAGATTTCATTTACTGAAATAAGTATTTGAAAAGAAACAATGTGATTTTTCCAAAGCCTTAACAAAAATTAATGGCGAGACTGTAGTTTATGGACGAGTCAATCAGAAGCGTTTGAAATTTCAAGGTCACAGTGCCAACTTAAGATTCGTTCAAAGGTCGTCGTCCATATATGATAGTCTCGCCAAATTAATTAATATATAAAAATAATTTGTTTTTCTAACTGTATTAAATGAACACGAATGGAAAGTAAGAACAAACGAATAGTTTGAATATATAACGAATAGAGAACAATTGAAATATCAAGTAATTCTATTATGGTGAAAATTTGTGTAGCTTAGGAAAGATTAAAAATTTAACGGTGTTGTATCACTAGACTTTGGAAAACACAACTAAGACTATCAAAATTAATTGCATTGAAAAGAGAGGACAAATTAGGCAATATAAAAGAAAATAAAAAAAATTGAATAAGCTTTTCAATTATTTGATGTATCCCAAGTGATTGTTTTAATATCCATAAATTCATGTAAAGCATTTGGTCCACCTTCACGTCCAATCCCGGAGTTTTTTATTCCACCAAATGGTAATTCAATAGTACTTACAAATCCTGTATTTAAACCAACCATTCCAACTTGTAATTCATCTGCGATTCGCCAAGCTTGATTAATATTCTCAGTGTAAATGTAACCAGCTAAACCATATGGGGTTGCATTAGCTAATTCAATCAATTCTTCCTCATTCTTGAATCTGAATGTTATGAGAGAGATAAGTAAAAATGTAGTAGTCAGTAAATATACAAGTTCTAACAAAATATGTACTCAGTCGATAAACTAATTGGTCGTTCAACATGTCACATTGTCTAGTCCTCAGTTGTGTTCGCATTAAAAATTAGTCACTAATTGATTCAACTTAGCGGTCGACATTTTTTTCAAGATACATATTCGAAGGTAGATGAAATAGAATCTCTGAAATTAAGTTTCCATGTTAGGTAGGACTGAAGAAATGGAGGATCTCTTTAGAATTGGTTTTTACATCCCAGTGGAAATATAAATTCTCTTAAGATTGTATATGCATCTTTCTTGATTCGTTTTTTAAGTTGGCTGGCTGTTTATTCGAGAAAATATGAGCTACACAGTATAACACTCTTGATTTTCAACTCAACCTAATTTCTGTAACTCACCTAGCTTGTGTTGCGCGTACTGTGGGGTATAAGTCAGTCAGTCACAACGTCGAACCTAGTAGGTATGTACGTCGGTTCAAGTTGCCATACCCCATTAGCAGAGATGAAATTGTCAGGCCAAATCCCAGAATGGTAGAGGCAGTAACAGTATTAGTGGTAATAAGAAAGGTTAGGCAATGAAGAAAATATAAATTAGAGGAAGAAAAAGAAAGCTATGATGAATTTAGGAACCCGGAATTTGAGGGGGGAGAAAGAATAGATGCAGCTGAGTCATGACAAACGATTTTGGGTCATGTCATTTAAAGTCTCTAAACACACGGACCCCAACCAGGTGGTCTACACCTATTAACATGGCTTAGTCCATTTGTCTTCATGGACTGATGTCATGTTTTGGTTTGGCCACTCCTGTCTTTCTTTCCGCCTACTTTTACACTACATAACATCGCCCATTGAGGTAGGCAGTGATTGCCCCCCAATGCCCTGGTACGGCCGAGAATGGTGGGAGTCCGCTCTCCCTCTCCAAATGCTCTCACATGGCCACGCGTATATAGCCTCTGCCAGGGAAGTCCTACTCACTGCCTTCTCATGGCGGGGGTGTTGTTTACGAAAATGAGAGGACGAAAAGCGAATGTCCGGCGCTTTAACCGGATCACAAACCAATGGTGCACATGGGCTCCAGTACCCTGCGGGAACAAATGGCGTAGAAACCAATTGTTGGTCACCGGCTTCCATGAGACTGCATCTCCTTACGATGCTCCACTGCCTTGTGGAGCAAACCTTCAGGTCGAAGGCTCGAGGAGCGGCCCCCTAAGAAAACCACCTGCTTCGGTTTGGGCACCCGGGTAGTATCACAGCCCTCACACATATCGAATGAGATTTGTATGGCGCATATGTATTTGGTGCCTCCTTGTACCAATATCTGTGTTAAAATAAATAAATAAAGGCAGTGGTTGGGCATGTACAACACATGTCCCAACCATCCCAGTTAATGAACATTTGTCACGTCATCGATCGATAAGTCACTGCACTTTTACCGCGGGGTGACAAAAGAGTATATTATAAACAAATTCTAGAAGTGGCCAAATTAGCATATATATCAACGACAGATGAAGTTACTTATTGTTCAGCTGAACCATATTGATAAATTTGAGACCGTATAATAATCATCATCAGTGAACGGAGTCATTAGATGACACATGGCTTAAAATCGGTGGTTTGACATTAGTTTTGTTCTTACACTAGAATTTTATTATTTCAAACTGTTCATGTCTTGCAATTTTATTTTTTTCTGATCAAATGATATTTTACAATTAGTTTTATTCATTTGCTATTGTTTTTGAATTATGAATCTTGTTAAGGAAATGAAAGGAAATTATACTTTTTTTTTAAATTAAAGTTTATCTATCATGAAACACACCTGCAAACTGAAGCAACAGGACCAAAAACCTCCTCTTCCATACATGCCATTTTTGTGTGACAATTCGACAGAACAGTTGCCGGATAAAAATAACCATTGGAGTAATCAAATCCAAATGAATTTTTACCCTTTAATCTACTATGGCCACCAATTAATGGATGTGCACCATGTTCTACAGCTAGATTAACTAATTTTTCAATCTGGAAAAAACGATAAAATTGGAAATTATTACACTTTTATTAAATGTTCACAAATTTGAACATAAGTTAATTTAAAAAACTTCTGAAAATATAGAATGTTATTGTCTCTGTACTAAACCCACCCAGCTCAATCTATGTCAGCTTAAGTCATCACAGTTCATATTACTGACACGATGAAAAGAAATCAACCAGAGAATGGCAAAAATAATATAACAACGACTATAATAAACAATAATGAAAAATCTCTTCTTAAAGTAGCAAACGAATTGGGAAAAAAGATGGCAGGAATGTAAAATATAGGATCTCAGTAAGTTGGAGATGTAAAGAACGATAAACAATTAATAGAATACACGTATGTGATTTCTCTCCCACTTTCATTGTTATGCAAATTATTTATAATCATTGACATGTGGTCTCATAATTAACAGGACTATTTAACCAGAGAACAATATAGATATATTTTCTGTATTTTCAAATGACGAAGACATTTTCCTTTGTTAGCCATCTCATTTTTTGTACACGGGAAAAAGCAATGAAACAGCAAGAATTCGAACTTATGAACAAGCCGTAAAAAGAAATAAATGGTGCCATTACAATGAAGTGATTTATTTTATAAAAAGAATATTATTGAAATTCATTACAGATAACACTAAACGACTTTCTATGACATAATTGATGACTTTGCATTGTATTATGATAACTTTATCGGTATACATCACAGGAAGAGGTAGTTTTTTTACATTGATTATTACTATTCTGAACAGAGGTTCTTATTTTTCGTCTATGACTTTCGTCAGGAGCTAATATGTACAGACACTGTATTTGAAAACGTAAACAATTTGGGTTCTATCTAAGTGACTCAAGGGTGGTTTGCTCACCATGAGACCTGAAAGTCCTGTGTTTTATCCCAGTTGAAATTATGGGTGTGCACTGTTGCGAAATCTCACAATGATGAAATGCCTGTTCAGTACCAAACCTTCCTTGATTTGTAATGGTTCCCCACATTTGATATCCTCTTTGCGACACAAAACCACCTAACAATCTAATAATAGATAATAATGAAGAAAACATAACGAACGAATTCGAATAACTTAAATTTCGAAATGATGGATCTACATAAGACTATTCTATTGTTCCATATAGTTCGTTAATGAAATAGGCTTGGTACACGGACGTGATACTTGAACAATAATCTAAAAAATGAATTTTACAATATTCAGACATTCGAATAAGCAGTCTGAACAATCCAGCTGGCAAGCTAATTTGATTGCAAAACTAAGTAGTAGTCGAAATACTAATGAGCAACAAGTGCGAAAAATAGTAAGTTTACGATTTTCTACAGGAAAATAAGGAGTACAAGTGAAGTGTGAAGATGATATTATGAAAAAGAAACTAAGGACTCAAAAACGAAACACAAAAATTCGCTATACCTTAGTTAAAGCCTTTTCATTGATAACTGGACCTAAATTGGTATTTGGATTAGCACCGTTACCCATGTGAAGACGAGAAACGGCCTCAGTTAGTTTGTTAACAAATACGTCATGTATTTGATCATGAACAAAAATACGATTTGCTGATATACAAGTCTAGGAAAGAGGAAAAATACAGAGGGCAAAAAGACACCTTGATAATTTAAATCGGATGAAAATATAATATCCTAATGACAAGTAGCTTACATTACAAAAACATCTAGATTGCGGAACCAACATATGGCTAACACTAGTAATACATCAATCACACGTAAGTAATTCATAATATATGTAACATGTAACAATGGTGTACAACAGCCCCTAAAAAACACATTGTGATCACTACAAGATGAATGAAATAAAATCTAACCAACAGTAAAGTATCTGATAAAGTCTAAGTGATAGCAGCTGTAAAGCAATCAATTCACTGAAGGATTTCCACAGTCATTGTACGAAAAGTATATCGTTTCAGAACTTGGTAAATGATAGATATAATATCTACGGAGTGCTTGATCTTTTGTGTTGAACAGGTGCAATTTCAGTATATTCCTTTGTTTGTATATTCTTTATTCTATATCTGAAAAGTATTCTTCACAACGCAGTCATTTTTACCTCTTAACGTGAATATAACACACTAAAGTTATAACACGTAAGCCAACTCACAGGTGATACATTTAATTATTACTTATTAAACATTTCACAAAAAATGGCGTTTATTGAAAAGGTCTTCAGGGATAATTCATCCTGAGAATGTCCTACTTCCATCGCTTTTAAGTTTAAAGCTTTAGTCTTAAAGCAGATTCACAAAAAAATTAATAGTTGAACTGCTAATAAAGGTCAGGAATTACTAGACAGCCGTTTCATCCCAATATAGGATAACCCAGTAGTGCGAGCCCATAATCCAACCAGGGGTCTAGCCCTGGACCTACGGGTCTCAGGAAAAACACTTAACCATTAGGACCACTATGTCGGTATCTAGTAGTACAATTCTAACCTTCAATGATACTGCAACTGAGATCAATTTGTAACGAACACAACCTACAAGTTAAATTATTGCACATACGGCCCCTTCAACTAAATATATGATCATAAATTGTTCGTTGAAACTAGGAGATTTAAATAATCCAACAAAACAACAAGTGTTCTATTTCATAAAACATAATACTAATTAGGTATCGAACAGACGAACTGAATTGAATACATAAAACTTCATTTCACAAAGAAATAATAAATGCAATATGATGTACACTGTAGACTGCAAAACCAATACTCACTTGTCCAGAACAACGAAATTTACATCCTACTGCGCCAGTAACGGCTTTCTCAATATTCGCAGAATCAAAAATAATAAACGGAGCATTACCGCCCATTTCCAAAAGAACGCGTTTACCATAATTAGCAGCTTTGGCGTAAAGCATCTATTAATAAATAGAGTTAAGAAAACAGTTTGAAACTAACAACAGAAAATAAAACAGAAACGAGAACACAAAAGCAACAACAACACCAAGCATTTGTGTGAGAAGTACGCAGATGCATTATGTAGTGTTCAATTGAAGAACAGCATATTTTATTTGATTTATCTGTGACAGTTTTGGTGTTTGTTCCAATAGGTTAGACATTAACACCATTGAATGCTGGCTTAGTGGTCTAGAGGTTAAGCGTTTGCACGCGAGACCGACAGGGTCCTGCGAGCGGGGTCGTGAATGCGAACTGTTGAGGAGTCCCATACTAGGATGAAACGGCCGTCCAGTGCTTCCAGGTTTCTTATAATGGTCTAGCTTTAATTACCTCATGATTTCAAATATTAAATTACTAAAGATCTCTACGAAAACCCCCTTCTAATTTTATTGATTGGATTTATTCAAAGTGAATTTTGTTCATTGACTTTTAACTGTATTATATCATTCCGTATGGAATTAGTTATTCGATTTTCAATGCATTTTTCCTTATATTAATTAATTCATCGTGATTTTTGTTAGGTCCCGATAAACATAATGAATGGTAACTTTGGGATCTATTTATGGACCAAAACTAAACGCATCGTATAATTGTTAAATAACTAAACTATTCATATTCATGTTCCTCTTATTATAAGCTTTAGTTTGACCTATGAACTAATATTATACGTTTTACCATTCTTGAATTATGCCCTGTCTATTAATCACTACTTCCCACACTCACAGCCACATTTGGCCAAATCTTGTACAAATGTTATTTTCTATTTTATGGTACGATGTGGTCTGCTTGATTGGTATATAAACAGAGTATGTTTGAAATACATGATTCATATTGCAGAGGCTGATATTGGCGTTCTAGACTTAACTGGCTGGACTAGGCGGAAAGCAGGACCAATCGTGACTCTAGGCTGCTCGCACGTGTTTTACGCGTACTTGATCCGATCGATAATTCACTGACCTCTAATTGGCGGTCACAAGTTATAACAATTTTGCGTTACCGTAACTGGTCAGTTGATAAAATTTTGTGACTAATAATTATTATATATTTAAAAATACAAAGTGATGGGAGAAATATTTCTTCTCAATTTAATTCTTTATCAAGGCTTTACACAAATTGAAGTCCATTTAACAGTGTAATGATCAGTTAATAACAGAGCCGAAATTTCATAGCCCATTAATTATCAAAACAAATAACATAAGAGTAAGAATAGAAATGGAAATTGGATGTAAATATAAATGTCTTTTTGTTATCTGTGATATTAGGAATAAGTAATTAGTATAACAGATGAGGTGAAAATTAGGTTATAAGATTATTAGACAGGTTACGTAAGACTTGAATTGGAAATTAAAATATGAAAAAGTCAAAGTTTGTAAAATTTTTATCAAACTAGCCAATGTGAAATATTTTGCCAATAAAAGTTAGTAGTATTGAATTACGACACAAATAGTTAATTATTTGTGCTGGATAATGAGAAAAGTTATGGTGATATTGTCTACCTCACTGAATAAGTGAAGTGATAATTGATAGGAAATGAGTAGTGAAATATGATAAACTCAATAGGAAGTATAAAAATATATATATTTCACCGAGTAAGTTTACAGACAGTGGTATATGAAGCGACAAAAGAATGGTCCCCAAACGCCCTGTTACGGCCGAGGGTGGGGAGGGTCTTCTCGAAATGCTCTTGCATAGTCACGTGCATACAACCACTGCCAGGGAATTCTTACTGACTGAGCGAGGTTGTTGTTTACGACATTGAGAGGACGAAAAGCGAATGTCCGGCACTTTAAAGAGGTTCGTGGACATCGAGAGTCCACCTAGGGGTTTGGAAAACCCTGATTCTAAACCAATGTTACACATGGGCTCCAGGATCCTGAGAGAACAAATGGCGTATTAACCCATTGTTGGTCACCCGCTTCCATAGGACTGCATCTCCTAACGTTGCTCCACTGCCTTGTGAATCAGACCTGTAGGTTGAAGGCTCCGGTTGTGGCCTCCTGAGAAAACCACCTACCTCGGTTTGGGTACCCGAACAGTATCACATCCCATACACAAATCAACTGACGACTACTACTGGAAATATTATTCTTGCTTCAATTAGCATTCAGACAAATTACATTGACCATCATTTGATAACATTCATTTTTGTTTTTTATATACCACGTCATTTATCTACTCTTCTATTCTCACTTTATGTATTCTTGTTTTTCAGCTCATCTATGATGGAAACCCTCTTTTGGGTGGCGCATATGTATTTGGTACCTCTTTGTACCATTACTTACGTGTTCAAATAAATAAATAAGTAAATAAATAGACAAAAGAATGGTAGTAGTAGTAGTAGTAGTGGTAGTAGTAGGTTGTAAAAAGCTAGGAGAGGTCAAACCAACACATGGCACCAGTCTATGAAGTTATTGACTGTTGGACTGAAGCATATAGGTGGGTGCAAATTATCTGATTGGGGTCCGTGTGACTATCGTAACCAATTGTTAGAGACTGGGTGACAGCTTAAAATCGTCCACAGTAGTGCAGGTGCATTAACTCTTCATGTTTCCTTAGTTTTTGGAACCCACTATTTTGTTTCCCGTTTTTAAATACATAATCTTTTCTACCAATACTGATAGCGCTACTACTTTTGCTACTCTTCGATTTGACCTAATAATTTTATTTCGCTGAGATAATGTAGTGTAGCGATTTGAACCGACCCATGTATGTGTCAGATTCTACGTTACATACGACTGAGTGATTGAAAACTAAGACATTTTCAAAATAAAAAGTAAAATGATTATAATAACAAAATGATGATGTACTTAAAATATCCTAACGAGAAGAAAATTGAATTCCTATCGTTACGCAACTTAGTGAAAGTGTATTAAAATACTATTTTATTAATAAAAAGTTTTTTATGCGCACTGATCACAAGAATCCTAAAATAATAATTAAACATACCGTTCCCACTTCTGTAGAGCCAGTAAATCCAATTAAACGAACAATGGGATGAGTACATAATACATTTCCGATTTCTTCTGCTCCATTGTCATCAACTGCGGCTGTAATTACATTCAAAACACCTGGAGGTATTCCTGCTTTTTCAATACCAAGATAAGTAATAGCCAATGATGTTAATGGAGTATCTTCAGCTGGTTTAATAATTACAGAGCATCCTGAAGCCAAAGCAGCACCAACTTTTCGTGTTACCATAGAAAGTGGAAAATTCCACTAAGTATATGAAAATACATTAACATTTTCAACTTGTTAGTAAACATAAAAATCACCATAAATTACTTTCCTTTCATAATCAGTTAATTATGAAGTGATTTTTTCTAAATATTTACTTGCTTTGAATGTAGCACAGTTCTTTCTTTTTTCCAAACGTATAAGAACATTTCACCATGTGAGTAAGCGAAATCATTGAAAACATTGAGAGAATAATTGTATGATAAAACTCAGTTTATTATAAGCATAATCGAATTCAAGATATTAAAATTAGTTGTAACTTGTAGAAGAAAAAATGTCAATATCTCAGAATAAGGAAAGAAAAGGCAGAAAGTATGAGTAACTGCCAGTTACCAGATGTGATAAATACATCCTGTAGATAACTGTACCAACGGAAGCATGTTGGATAAATTAGTCACTTGACTCCATTATTTTATTCAATGACTACATTCAACTGATTTTCGGACTTATAAGTACATCCGGAGTTTTACGGCCTCCTAATATTAGGTGAAATTTCAAATATAATAACTCTACATGTTTTAAACAAGTTTCATATAAAAATGTGAATAATAACGTGTTATTACTAATTCACACAAACAACTAGGATTAGGAGGGTAAAACAATACAACAAAAAAGAAGCATGATCTAATTACCGGAGTAATTACACCAACAACGCCAATTGGTTGTTGAGCAATTAGCTGACGCCGTGAATGAGAGCTTAGTGATGGAATATAAAAACCAAAAACACGTTTAGCTTCCTCAGCATACCATTCCAGAGCGGAAACACCTGACAGAACTTCATTACATGCATCAAATGACGATTTCCCCTGAAAAATAAAAATAATACAACTTATTGATTTTATAGTTAACACCATGGACTAAAGTTAGTTAAACAATAATTGGGAACTAGAAAGCACTAGAAAGTTGCTTCATTTTAGTATAGGACTTAGTAATAAGCATCTACAACCTCACCATGGATAGAGTTAAGGACAGTTATATCCCACGGCAATCAACCAAATCGCAAAATCGCCCAGGGTCTGACAATCAGTGGAGTTGTGGATGCGCAGTGCCGAGGAGACGAATATTAGGATAAAACAGACGTCGACTGCTTCCTGGATTTCAATTAAGACTAGATGCTGACGATAAAACTTAACAACCTCGGCAAACTTCCTTCACAATTTGTTCCTCACCAAAAACATAAAGGTCATGAATTTGGACTCCCAGTAAAGACCGTTTAGCAAGTACTGGTGATGGGTAGCGAATAATGACGAAATAGTTGATCACTAGCAATATGATGTTTAATGGTTTTCCAGTTGATGGTTGTGCATGATGAAAACTGTGTTCAAACTAGACAAAAAAACTAGTCATCTAACTAAACAAAAGTCATGGCTTTCTGAATTTTAAAATTTTGGATATATATATATATAATTTAACAGGAAACGTGATAGTAAATTGTAATCATAGAGTCAAGGAATAAATGCTCAGTATTAGTGTCTAAAAATGTATAAACAGACATAACAGAATATCTCACATTTTCAGCTACAATAAGATCCGTCAATGAGTCAACATTCTGTCGAATAGTATCTGCCCATTTACGTATAACTGACGATCGTTCCCCCGGCGTCTTCGATTTCCATTCTTTCTGACTGACTGAAGCTACATTGACGCTAATCTCACATTCATTCTTTGAACAGGCTGGAACCAAACCTAAATGTTCACCTGTAGCCGGATTCACAACTAGAATAAATAAATATTTACGAATATATGTAACTATGTATGATGACGGATGAGAACAATACTGTATTTACAGGAATGTTACAAAAGTCATGCCAACTCCAATTAACCTGATACTATGGTGAGAACCAGTTTAATAAAATAATCGTTTAACCTACAGAACTTACTTTCGAATACTCTGCTGAACAACTTTAGTTAAAGGCTATTATTAACAGGATTTCATGAGTTATTTCTAAGAATCGCTTAATCAACTTTAATGTGTCTGAAGTGAGAAATTATTAGTTATCTATTGAGAATTGTTGGCCGTTAACTAATGAAAGCTATAATCACAAAGAATAGTTGTATTCAAGAGTTCATATCCCTAAGGACTACAAAACAAAAAAATAAAAATCAATTAATTTAGATTGTGAAACAGGTAAAATGACTAACCGAATATCCATCGAATGCCAGTTAGCAAAAGAATAAAACTTCTTAGAAGCTGAGACTGTGTGGACACCAGATTAGAAAATATATAGTAATTCAGTTCAGTAACACTAAGTAAAATCTTAATATTAGTATACTGTAGATTATACAACACTCCTCCCCCTTCCCCACAGAACAAGATAATTGTAAATAAAAGCAAGACCGATGAAAATAGAAATAAAATCAGCTAACAAAAAGTCAGTCAGTCAGTAACAACGTAGAATTTCGTACATCAGTTCGAGTTGCCATACCGCATTAGCACAGAGATGCAGTGGTCGATTCAAATCCCATAGCGGTAGAGGTAGTAAGAGTATAAACAGTAATCGGAAAGATTAGGGTTTGGAGATGTTATTGAAAGAGTATAATCCAGTGAAATAAATTTGGGAAGAGAAAAAACAGACAAGGAGGAATCAGGAGATTAGAATTTGGAAGAACACAAAGAGTGGATGCACCTGCACCATTGCAAACGATTTTGAGCCATATCATTCAGGGTCTCTAACTATCGCTGTTTTTTTGTTTTTTGCTAACAAAAAGTATTGTAACAGTGGAAGTCAACATAGCTCAATATTCGAAACTATTAACAATTAACTTAGTTGAAGGGGTTTTATGGGAATTGACTGTTTTTAGGTTGTATTAGTCATAGAGGTATATCCTCAGTTGAAGTATTACTGAAAACTTAATGAGCTATTTTGTCCTAATATGGGACACTTCAGAAGTGTGCGCCAACAACCCCACCAGGGTTCAAGACCAACACTTTTAGATCTCGTAGCGAAAGCTTAACTGTTAAAAATAATGGGTCAGAGTCCAGTGGTATAATATCAATCCCAATTAATTTGTGATGTAGCACGGCATTTGTTTTATCTTAGTATTTCACTCCTGACATGTCTGAACTGAACCAGTCGCGACTCATTACCTCAATGATGTTCTAACTGCGATCGATCTGTAACGAACACAATCTACTAATTAATACAATTCAATTCTCCTCAGAATTCAAGTGCAAGATCTTATACTCGGCTCTAAGTTGCATTTCTGTTGATGAAAGTTGATATAAATCCAATAAGTTGAGTGAGAAACGAACCTGTAACCTAATTATTGAAAGGAAAGTGTCCTAACCAATAAGGAGCTGATTAACTTTTAGACGTTACGATTTACACTGCTGGATATCTTTGACCATTAAAGTGCCATACAATAGAGTGAATACGCAAAAACGAACAGCAAATACAGCCGCTGTTAGTTACAATTTCCTGATTTTGTAATTAAACACAAATTTCACTAGCCGTTCGTTCAAACATCACTAAATATTATAATCTATCACTGAAGTTTTATTACTAGACTGACTTCAAGTTTTTTTATCTAAAAAAATTTCGTTGAGTGAGAATAAAATATTACGAGACATAATATTACAGTGCTCTACAGGGATAACTTTTAAAGATCAACCCTAGAAAAGTAATGTACGAAGACAAGTTTATGTAGTCCTGAATGATAGATAAGCGTAATTTCAACGAAAATTTAAATTTCTTTGAGGAAATCCGCAAAAAGTAAACAAACCCGAAAACGATTTTCCAGACAAGGAAGGTTCCCATCTCCCCGAATAGAATGCTTTGTTTTCTGGAACTAACTGGCCCCAAAATGGTCCCATCCGACTGCATGATAAACTTAGTTTTACACTGCGAGTATGTAATACATTTGATTTCGCGAGCCACCATTTTCGCACACACTAACACAGAAAGAAAACAAAATTACATGTCTTTCTATCGATACTGAAACTGAATAGCAAACTGCAGATACATTTACTGGATTCTTAGCCGTTTTTTGCATGAAGACAAGTGATGCTGCTTGGTTACTGAAACTGAAGCAGTCGGAATGCGGTTCCAGTCCATCACCCAGTTCTTTCAAATACCGAAAGTCACGCGGACCCCAACCAAGTAGTCTGCATCTACCAACATGGCTTAGACAAGAGGTTAGTGTCTTCAAGCACTGATGCCACGTCTTGGTTTGGCCGCCCCTAATTCTCTTCCAGCCATCTCTAACACCCGTCAGCATTGCACGACGTAGTAATCGGTGTTCAGGCATACGTAACACGATGAAGATTAACAACCTCATCACCTGATTTACCATCATTACTTAATACCCTGCGTCTAACCTCACTATTACTTACTCGGTGATCCCAACAGACGCCAGCAATATTTCTAAGGCATCTGTGGTCAAATACTTGTAGCTTACGGGTATACTCGTCCTTTTATTGATAGACGGATATCTCGCCTTCGCCAAAGGTGACGCGAGTTGGCAAAAGCCAAGCGAGCTTTTCGAATCCGTGCTGAGATTTCGTCCGATACCAGCCCATTAGGGCTGATCAGACTTCCAAGATAAATGAAGTTGTCGACACGTTCGACTACTTCACTCCCTATCCTTAGTTCAGGTGTTGACGCAGGCCAGTCCTGAAGCAACAACTTGCATTTAGAGGGAGAGAAGGGCATTCCAAACACTCTGGGATTGTTGCTTAGTGCTACCAAAAGACTGCATTTTGTCAGCGTCTTCACCAAACAGGACTATATCATCTGCGTATTCTAAGTCGATAAGTGGACCTCCTGGTAGGAGATCAATACCCGAGAATTCAGTCGACGAGAATGTTATTTCCATCAGTAGGTCTATGATGAAGTTAAACAGAAATGGAGAAAGTGGACAGCCTTGACGGACACCACTTGAGGTTGCAAAAGTAGATGACAGTTCGCCATAAGCTCTGACTCGACTAGTAGTGTTCGAGTAAAGAGCCTTTACAAGGTTTATGTACTTCTGGGGTACGCCTTTCAATGACACACTGTCACTAAACCGGACAGGAAACGTGTAGCTCAGTAAGATATATAAATCCGCACTTAATCATTAGATCGTATTACATTACATCAATCTATTTTATTGCTGTTCATCAAAAATACGTAGAATAATTGTAAGATCAGGCAGACAAGCTGTGACTTCAGGAAACAATTAGGTTTACTTTCCGAAGAGACCAATAAAGACTCATGACCAGTTTATTGGAAACATGTATTCATAAATTACATTTATTTATTTGACCACATAAACATTGATACAATGGGGCAACAAATACATATGTGCCATACAACAATAATGAGGCCAGTAGTAGTTATCATTAACTCCACCTGGAGTCCCTCCGGGGGCTACTGCCGGTCCAAAGCCAGGATAAAGGAGGAGGGATGGGCATGGGGTTAGCGACCCCATCCCGTAGAAAACTAACTCGCTAAAAAAACGCTAAGTAAGTAGTTATCACTGATTAGTGGAATGGAAGTGATACTGTCCGGGTACCCAAACCGAGGTAGGTGGTTTTCTCAGGAGGCCACAACCGGAGCCTTCAACCTACAGGTCTGATCCACAAGGCAGTGGAGCAACGTTAGGAGATGCAGTCCTATGGAAGCGGGTGACCAACAATGGGTTAATACGCCATTTGTTCTCTCAGGATCCTGGAGCCCATGTGTAACATTGGTTTAGAATCAGGGTTTTCCAAACCCCTAGGTGGACTCTCGATGTCCACGAACCTCGTTAAAGTGCCGGACATTCGCTTTTCGCCCCCTCTATTTCGTAAATAACACCCTCGCTGCGAGAAGTCAGTGAATAGGAATTACCTGTCAGTGTTCGGATTATACTACAGTGGAGACATTCGCATGGTATCATTTAAGATTCGGTGTGAAATTATGAAGGTTACCGATGTAAGGTAAATGATCAAACCCCAATTTAAATAAGCAAACTTGTGACGTGAATAACTAGTGTTCTATTCTAATTCGGAAAGTTTGAATGACTTACAATTGATTGATCACTAGGTGGTAATCAATGTCATGTATGTTAGATCCTTCTTAGTGTAGATCGATTTATTTATTTATTTATTTTAACACATAGATATTGGTACAAGGAGGCACCAAATACATATGCGCCACACAAATTTCATTCGATATGTGTGAGGGCTGTGATACTGCCCGGGTGCCCAAACCGAAGCAGATCGAATCCTGTCGACCAAGTTGCAATGTGGCCATCAGTCTAGGTGACTCGACATTGCGTGCACTATGTTGAGATAAGATGGTGATTGGAGGTAGTCAACAGGGTTCCCTGTTGAGCCATCCTTTTCCAATGATAATTTTCCTATCTATCTTTTGATGAATACTTAAGCCAATAACAATCAAACGATTATTAAACTTTCCTTATTTTAAATTTTTTAATACATTTGTTTATTTAACCTCACTGACATCATGTATAACAAGTTTTTTATCAGTATTATTATCATCCTGTAAAAATAAGTATATATATATATATATATATATATATATATATATATATATATATATATTTGCGATTGTACAGCTTTGAAAATGAATTCGCCGAAAAGAGAATTCTTCGCTGAACTAATCTTACCTATTTAATGTCTTAATGGGTGTATTTCGTTTATTAAAAAAAATTCAAGGACACGATATTTTGTTAGAGTACCACATGTGATATCAGCCCTACTAAGCACAAGTACCATTTCGATTATTTATTAGCGAAATGACAGTAGGTGAAAGAAAGGGGTCAATAGGATGAGTAAAGACGGTTATTTGTGATTATTAAAGTGGATGTCTGGACAGTAAGCATTTACGAATTATTACGGATGATAAGTACTGAACCTAAGGCACCAAGTATCCTCAAACAGCCTAAATCAGACATTAAATAACTTATGTGTGAACTAAACTACCTAATCTATATAGGTGTCGTTGGCAAGGTTTAACTTGATAATTTCGAATAAATTGAGCATCGGGTAAATTGTTAAAAATAAAATTAATATATTTGTAATATCTCAATGAGTCGAAAAATTAGGTTTTTTTTAATTCTTTGATGTTTCATAACCCAATGTATGCCACTTCTTCAGGGAATAAATAAACAAATTAAATTAACCCGTTTGAATAGTACAAAGTAACAAAGCAGGAATATTTGGTGCGATCAATCAAAAACAGGTCCGATCAAGTCAGTCATTTCATTCCGGTCGAGGTAATTTATGTGACTATATATTTGTGTGCATGGTAAAGGACGAAAAAGTGTGACCTTTGTGGTGCGAAATGATACAGTTGAAATTGTATATGCGATAAAGTTGTGAGATGTGAATAGAATCGGATATAGTAGCTCGGAGAGATGATCCAAATCAGATGGATAGTGAGGCCTCCTTTTCTATTGAAGGTAGTAGGATTAAGAAATAAATGAAAAGCTTCAGATACTCGCCCTTCTTTGTGGTTCGAAAAACCTTTTTGTATTATTTTGATGTTTCTAATATCGATTCGATGGTTGTTGAAAATAGCATGAACTGCTATTGTTGATTTAATTTGGAGTCTTTACAGTTCTACGGAATTATCAGGCTGTTTAAGCGCTTGTCGTAAGGGAGTTTGGAAAGACCACTAATTTTGCTACCACACATTGAACACGCTCAGGTGAGTTCGTATCCTTAATAAAACATGGATCCGATGCTTGGATACAATATTCTAAGTGTGGTCTTACGTAGGTGGTATATAAAGTTCAAAACATCTCGTCAAAGCATTTTAATGCTCGGAGAAGTGACCATAAAGCAAGAAACCCTTTGGCAACTGCTGCGTTGCAATGCGTAATTGTTTACAAGTCGTTACTTACTATTACCTGAAAGTATGCTCATGCACGTATGGAAGAGACGCGCCGTGTATAGTATACTGATGAACGTTACCGTATCCGATGAGCATGAGTACACTAGGATCAATTTCTAAGTCCCAACATTGGGATCAACTATTTGTCTAGGTCAACTTGACCATTAAAATGATCAACCTCACTTCTTATTATTCTTTAGATTTTGACACCATCTGCAAAAAATATTATCAACGACTTAAGAAATTGCAGTAATTCGTTGACATAAAAAAGGAAAAGTAGGAGATCTAAGATTGTCCCTTGAGTTATGCCGCTTTTGACCAGCTTCCATTCAGAGCGTCCCATTTACTATCACTCTGTCCTCGGACACATAGGAAGTTTCTTATCCATTCCTGTGCAACAACTGTTATTTCGAAGCTCGAGAGCTTCTGCAGAAGACCTAAGTCAGAATCCTTATCAAATGCTTTGCTAAAGTCTATGAATAATACATGCTGGTTAGAATGACAGATCAGTAGTTAGATACGATCTGTCAACTTCTGAAACTTACTACTCGAATAAGTGATGTCTGGAACATTAATGTAATCACTCGAGAAAATTTTCTTAGCCTTAGTCCCCGAAATCCGGTGTTAGGTCAGACGTTCACAAAAGCTTACTAGGAAAGGAATAACATGGTCCGTCGGCCCACTATGCTAAATACCAATCTAGGATGGGGATAAGAATCTGGTTAACCAAGTCGGTAAACTTCAGTTGTACAAAATTCTATCAAAAGTTAGTAGCACCCAATCTTTCTATTTTCGGGTAAACTATGTACGAATTTTGGGTAAATTACGTAGCCGCAATAGAAAGCTTTAGGGAAACGGCACCAGATTTTCAATATATCACCAGATTTTGGAAGGATCACTAAAATGTTAGGGGAAATCGCAAGTTTCCCCAATATTTCCGCAAAATTTCGCAACACTTTGGGGCTTTTCCTCAAAATCTCCCCAAGCTTTGGGGAAAACTGCAAAATTTTTACGAATTTGATGGAAAATCCACATTTCACACAAAATAGGGAGATTGGGGATCAAATGAACGTTTTGTTATTTGATGACCATTCGGTGAGACTATAATTTATGGACGACCTTCTAGCGACGCTGAAGTGGCCCTGAAGGGGACAACTTCTAATTACGACTAAATGAGGGTTATAAAGCAGTTAGAATTCTCATTTATAGTTGTTGTTCAGGGTTTAAAATTGGATTCAGGGTTTTCAACACGAACTGGCATCAGCTATTTAGCCAAATGTATGAACGAATTCCGCGCCAAATTCGTGAATCATTATCTTATATCTGATTGGTTCGTCCATAAATTATAGTCTCGCCGACTATTCTTCTAAACCTTTTTGGAAGTTAGTTGACTGCAACAATTGGCAAACATACTTTGTTTCAGCAAAAAATTATCTACGAACAACTCTTATGCATGGCGGCACTCCACGTGCTTTATCACAATCTTACCCTAGTGTAACACCATCTAAAAGTCATTAGACTTTGAGAATTCGCAGTCACGCGTAAATTCAAATCAATCACTGTTGGTCACAAGGTCATATCACGCAACATTTTCAATTAGCCGCTTAAAGTTACAGTTCATCAAGTCTTCTGTCCTTACCGGTAAGGATGGAAGGTCAAATGTTTTGGATTATTCTTTGCAATTTATAGTGCCGTGAAAATCAAATCTCACTGTAAATGTATCGAAAAGTGTTACTTTTACATATTCCGGTGGAGAATTCCATCAAATCACCACTCGACGCGAAAACCAGAAATTCAAGCGTAAATGATTTAATCTCGGTTTTTGAACATTTCTAAAATGTTCTCTCTGATGATCAATTCTAGATTGAAGGAAAAATAAGGCAGTAATTGCGAGATCATATTTCGGTATCCGGTGAGTTAGTATAAGACCACCCCGTAACCTTCGGTATGATAACGGAAATAGGATGAGGTATCTCATTATGTCTTCATAAGATAGGCCAAAGGAACCTTATTCCACTTTGCTTTTTTGACCAACTTTTCCTGGCATACTAACCTCATAAGTGAAATAAGGACTCATTACTTGAACCTCACATTCCAGGTGTAGCCTAATAAAATTCAACTATAAAAACCTTAACATCTCTTCGTCCAAGTGATAAAATGACTCATGAATAGCCCATAAGACCTTCAGGCCTTTAGCAGAAGTAGCCTTTCAGTTACTTGTGGTTTTTAGATCATTGCCTTGATCTTTAAAATCCGTTAATTCAGGTGAAACAATCCCACTTATTGTATAGGGATGTGGATCATTTAATTTATTTATTTACATTATAGCACCCTTGTTGTAATTAACTTCGAGTGACCTCCTATACATCCACCCAACCAGTGAACTTAAATCATCCTCTTATATTATTGCACATGACATGTGTGGGTCTCCAAATATTTGTCATTTGCAAAAAGTAGGCTAAACTCCGCCTGAAGTCCCTCCGGGGGCTACTGCCGGTCCCAAGCACGGATAAAGGAGGAGGGTTGGGCATGGGGTTAGCGTCCCCATCCCATAGAAAACTAACTCGCTAAAAAAACGCTAACCAGAAAAAATTATTCAAACATAAAAAGTAGGATAAAAGACTTCGCTACATTTGGCAAATCGTACAATTGTAGTTTGGGCCGGTATTAGTACTACTCTATTATAAGACCTAATCCAAAATTGTTGATTTGTCATCGCATGACTTCCTAATCTACAAGATCTTATGTGGAAGTCACATCATTGTCCACACTGGCTCGTCGTATTATGATACTCAGCCATACGATGCTTAGCTCTTGTGAAGGACATATTTGGGCTAGGGATGGAATAGTATACTTGATGTGGAAAGGTATGAATTACACAAAAATAACTACGCCTACTACTCTGTGCCATGTCATACTGATCACTTTTACCCAAACTCATCGTTGTTGGCCTTCCCTTAGTGTTACATGTTGAATATTAGTTCTCTCACTTACTTCATGTTCAGCTTGGAGGATCGTGTTGTTAGAACCGATATCATTACAAGTCTATGGTAAGCCTACTGAATATTTTACTACCTTCTTTCTGTAGTTTAAATAATTACCCCACTATGTAAAAGTATGTGTGAGTCTGATTAAAAGGATGTCTACACCCCAACCTTTATCTGGCCTTCCATTGTTTGTATATACAGTCAACCAATAACACCCTTATTGATTAAAATTTATAAAATGCACATAGACATTTGGACTTCATACCAATACCGAATCACACACTTCCTAGTATGCTTACCCCTTTAGTGCTCATGGATTTTATTATTCGTCAACAATAGACTTTCTAAACAGGTGGTACCCTGGATTTTAAAATGCAAAAGTAAATTCATGATAGCGTACCCAGTTAGTGGGACATCACATTTATTGTCAAATGAAGAAGAGTTAACCTCTACAAGTCATTAACCTGAAGCACGTATAGAAGACGGCCAAGGATCGTATCTTGGGAAGCTCCACTCTCAAAAATCCTATGCTAATTTATCCGTATCTATTGTCCTATATCATTGTCTCGTCCATGATTTCATGATAGATCACAAAACTCTGTCAAAGGCTTTACCTGTATCTGTCAAAATTACATCTGTCGGAATATCTGTGTTTTTCTCTGCGGCTCAATCTTCTCTTGTAATGAGAAGATTTGTCAGGTATAATAGGCCTCCCCAAAAGCCATGTTGTCTACTAACGAAGAGATTATTCGCTTCCATGTAGTTTAAAACAATCGTTCGAATAATCCTACCGTTTAGTTTGACGACCACACTTATCAGACTAATGTTTCGATAGTTACCAACTTAGTTTCAACTCCCCGCTTTGTAAATCGGACAGATAATTCTGTTTTCTTAGCCTAGAGAGTTCAGACTTCTGTAATAACATCAAATAGTATTGCCAGAGGTTTGTGGTTCTAGAAACCATTTTGTGCCTGAGTTTTCAATATATTCTTCTATTTTTAAATTAGAAAGAATAAGAATCGCTGTAGAAACTCGAAAAATTTTTTAAAGATAATAAGACTGATATAGATTTCATGGATATTAATCGACAGGTCGGCGTGATCTCTAATCCGGAAAAACCTGTATCGGTTCAGTAATTAGAAACCGTTTCTTTACTACGTGAACAATTGTTCTTTAAATGTTTTCCAAATCTTTGAGAATCATCTTGGCACAAATCGCTTGTCGGTTTCCTGTTGGCTGGATCTGGTTCTTAAGATGCACTAGTATAAACTATATTTACATTATGATTACATTACATATAAATCTGGACTGTTTTGGTACGTCTCAAATGTAATGCTTATTACTGCTTTTATGTATTGACTGCTTTCATTACTTCACCACTTGCTCAAGAATACTACAACGTAAGTTTATTCAATCCATTAGTCATCATCCATTGATAAAAATACAAATATATTTAGTGTTTAAGCGCTCCCGGTTTACCTTTTGTACGCCAGCCCACAGTTGACTATTATTGAGCAGCGGTGCATGACTTGTTTGTCTGTTTTTGAGTGCTGATTAAGTTGCAGTTTGACCGCCGGTTCGAGTGACCTGATATGGTGTGATGTGTTAGTTGGTTGGAGGTAGTCCTATAGATACCCTGGGTCTAAGCTAGAATCTAGTTGGGGCTCGTCAGCGAGATATACCTGAATTCTCGAGGGAATCGGCTCTTCCTGAAGAATTTCCGATAAAATTAACATTTAAAAACACGATGGACAAAGTCGTGCGTTAATAGAGGGATATGAATTATTTCAGTCATCTCGGTAATTCGTTGTGCCTCTATACTGAATTTCCGAAGTAACATCCACAATAGAAAGCGTGGCATGAATAAGCGTTCGACTCTAACTATTAGGTCGAACAGTTTCAGAACGGAAAATTAAGCTCCCAAGGGGTCCGGTTAGGTTTAAAAAGACTTAGTGACAACACAGCTTTGACCAGAACAGAAATGTGAGTTCTCTCAAATTTCCAAGTACATATTACTGAAGAGTACCAAACAGCACTAAACTTAGTTACAGGTTTCTCTGTTGATCAACCCCAACGACTTGATACTGTTTGTCAGACAGTGTCAAATGAGGAGACGAAAGTACCATTTAATAATATCTTAGTATGGGGTTGCGAAGATTATTGATTTCTTATTGATAAGTAAATCGTTGACTCATGGTCCCAATTAGTAATTTTATTTGATAATGCCATATCCCATGGCCCGTCAAATATCACATGACAAAACTGCCAATTAGAATATCTTACTTGTGACGTTGTTCCTATGCCAAACCGATGGTACGTCGAACAGCAGTAGTGACCTTGAGTCGAGTTTGAGTCTTTGTTGGTCCTCTATATAGCAACCTTTCGCCTAGACCAGCCCGTTCAGTCTAGAGCACAAACTCAACCTCGGCTGTGTGACTCGTATTTTTCAGACATACTCGGTTTATATGCAAGTAGATCAGATTGCTATATACTGTAAAATTAAAAACAATAGTTACACAAGATCATGCCAAAAGCGGCTGTGAGTCATATTTTTGAACTTAGTATTTCGCAATTTTTAACAATACTTCCCTACTTGTCATTCTCCATCCAACCCTGTCCTGGATAAACCTCGCCAGTGTGAAATGTTCAAAATATTCAGTTAATAAGACATAATTATCAAGTTCTTGTGAAAATGTAATGCACTAATTCGTATGATAAACATAAACCAGAGATCATAAGTTAATAAGATAATAAGATTTACCAACTCATTTTCATCAGTAATCCTTTTTCATTTAAGTACAAAATGTCATGTTACTTACAAGTAGTATTACGTTTCAAATGAAAATTTAAAACGTTGGTACTTTATTTCAATGATATCAAGGTAAATGAAATTGCCAATCTGGAAATTATGGATTATTAAAAATCAACTTATGTCACTCTTAAAATTTCTACTACACTTTCTAGCTATTCAGACGAGTGTAAAAGTTCCACACAAACTGGTAAATAAAGTTACTGTACCATTTCCAGCTAGATAAATGGAAACATACTGTTGAATTTCATCACGACTCAGTTTTTATTCGAAAAATTACGTGCACCTGTTACCCCTTATCGAGGAGCATTAGCGGACATCAAGCGCTCTCCATCCAACTCTGTCCTGGACAATCTTTTCCAGTTATATTCATCCTTTTCATGTCGGCTACCAACTCTCGATGCAATGTGTTCTACGGCCTTCCTCTTTTCCATTCCCCTTCACCATTCCAAGTTGGTGCTTGCTTCGTGATGCACTTTGGTGATTTCCTCGAGGTGTATCCTATCCACTTTCGACGTCGTTTCCTAATTTCCCACTCAGATGAGAACTGGTTTGTTCTCTCCCACAGTAGGCTGTTGCTAATGGGATTGAGTGTCTTGAGTAGAAAATTGTTCATAAATACTTGTACCCTCTTGATGATGGTTGTTGTAGTTCTCCAAGTTTTGGCTCTATACAGTAAAACTGTCTCGACATTCGTATCGTAGATTATGATTTTGATACTGGCTTAAAAAGTTGTTTAGAGTTCCACATGTTCTTCAACTGTACGAATGCGAACATTGCTTTGCCAACCCCCCCCCA